TGCCTCATTGGTTATCCCCCGTCCTGATCATCTTCAATCTCTATCCCTACTAACACAAATGTGAAAAAATCCTCAATTGACTCTGATATCCCTTCAAGCTATCACTCCATATCTCTCCTTCCTTTTATTCCTAAACTCCTAGAAAGAATGGTCCACACATTAGACTGTCTCTCCTCCCTCAGTTTCTGACAGAACTCTCTTCCTATCCTTCTACCTATCTGGCTACTCCTTCTCAGGCCTTTTTGCTGCCTCATAATCCATCTCCTTTTCTCCCTTTAGTGTTTCCCAGGGTTTGTCGTGGACTCTATCTTTATGATCTTGTCTTCTGTCTCTACTATCTCCTTCTTGGAGATCTCATTAGTTCCCACAGGTTCAAAGATCATCTCTATGCAGATAACTCAAAAAATCTCTAAAATTCAGTCCTTGTCTCTTTACACTTATGCATAATCAACTCAATTCTGGATATTTCCTCCTGGTTACCCCTTAGGTGCCTTAAGCTTAGCATGTGTAAAACAAAATTATCTTCTGCCCTAAATCTGCCTTTCCTCCAGATATTCTTGGTTCTGTTAGGAGTGCCACCATCCTCCAAGTCATCTAGGTTCATAATCCTTGAATCAGCTCAATTATTTCCTTTCCCTCATATCTAATCACTTACCATGTCTTGTCAATTATACCTCATCAACATCTCTTGTATTGCTTCCCTTTGTCACAGCCACCACTATAGTTTAGGTTCTCATGATATCTTGACTGTACTACTTTAATAGGTTCTAATTGGTTCCCTTGCTTTCATTTTGTGTCCTCTCCAATTCATATACAATATAGCTGCAATACCTCCCAAAAAAGTCTTCTTAAGAGTATAGGTTTGACCGTATCACTCTTCTGCTCAAAATACTTCAGTTGGTTGCCAAGTGCCTATGGGATAAAATACACACTCCTTAGCTTGACATTTAAAGTCTTTCATAATCTGGCTTCATTCATTCTGTCTCATTAGCTATATTTTACACTAGGCCGTTCCACAAATGATATATTCAGCAAAACTATACTAAGTAACCATTCCTGGACCTTGTTACTCTATTTCTTGCTTCTGGGCACACACACCAGCCATCCCCCTGCCTAGAATGCCCTCAATCCCTACCTATCAGAATATTTGTCCTGCTTGATCTCCCCAGTTCTTAACGTTTTCTTCAACCTCAAATGTCCTTGTATTTTCTTATCTGCATATATGATGCATTCCCAACTTGAGGACAGGGACTATTTCCTTTTGGTCCTCAGTACCTTGCATATAACATACACTTAATAAATGTTTATTCAACTGAATTAAAATACAAGCATAATAGAATACAAGTGCCTGTAGTTAAAACATAAATATACTGAAACATCTACTCAGAAGGATAACAGCAAGATAAAAAATTTAGATACAGGGATGAACACTAAAATTTTTACCTGCAACTCAAAAATAAGTACATAAGGCAAATATGAGTAAATTGCTCTTCCCAGCAACTGTAATTGTAGATAGGGAAGTTCTATCACAGGATAAATTTTTTGGTAAAGTGTGAAATTTATGGGAATGGGATAGAATCCTACCAATGACAGAGCAATGGAAGAATCAAGGAAGTAAAAAGGGTAAGAAAAATCCACAGAATTAAAAAAAAATAAATTTTAGTTGATATGGAGGGAGTTAAGAGGTTATTGGGTTAATAAAGAAAACAGCAGCTTACATTTATAGTGCTTTAAAGTTTACCAAGAACATTGTAAAGATAAAAAATTTTGAAAGGCTTAAGAATTCTGATCAATTTAGTAACCAACCCATGGTTCGAGAGAACTGATTATGAAGCATGCCGTCTCCTACCCACCTTCTGACAGAGAAATTGATAGGTTCCAGGTGCAGAATGAGATTTTTTTTTGAACACAGCCATGGAAGAATTTGTTTTTCTTGTCTATTCATATCTATTAACAAAGGTTTTCTTTCTTTCTTTTTTGTGGGGGGGGGGTAGGTCTGAGTGAGAGAAAATAGAACTTTATTAATTGAAAAAACAGTAAAAAAAAAAGTTTACCATGTAGTACATATGATCTCATTTGATCCTCAAAACTAATGCCTAAGGTAGTTAACCCAAGTGTAATTGTCCCTATTTATAGCTGAGGAAAGTAAAATTTAGGTGTGCTAAGAGCCTTGATTGATGTCGAATACATCTGGTAGATGATAGAAATATAGCTGTGATTCAATGGTCTGGCACCAAAGTCCTTTCAAAATATGGTATCCCTATTTTCCTTGCCTTTTCTTATATTGTTCCCCCACACATATTCTAAGCTCTAACCAAACTAGACTACTTGCTATGCCTTATATTTTTATGTCTCCTTGACTTTGTTCACACATTACCTGAGTCTGAGATTATCTTACTTCTGTACTGCTCTCTTTGATTAAAGCCCAACTCAAACACTACATCTGAACACTCCAGTTATTAATGACCTTTCCTTCCTGAAGGACCTCAGATAGTTCTTCATCTATACCTTTTTATGCATTTATCTCATATTGTAGTTTTGGTTTTAATATGTGATTTTACAGATTATTCCCTTTACTAATACAAACTTGCAAATGTCATTCAACTTATTATTTTAGAGAATTGGTTGAGACACTGATTAGTTAAATGACTTGTCCCAATTCACAAAGCCACTATACGTCAGAATTGGGACTTGACACCAATTGTTTCTTATCCTAAAGACAGCTATCTCCTACACACCATGTAGTCTATCATGTATTACTTTGTATTGTTGACACTGTAGATGTCATATTCCCCTACCAGACTATAAGCTCCATGAGGAAAGTAACATGGTTTATGAAAACTTTGTATTTCCCCTATGCACCAAACACCGTGCTCTGCATACACCGGGCAATTAATAAATGTTTAGTGACTTTTATACCAAGTTTTATCTAGCTACAGACCCAAGGATAGTGTTAGATCTTTTACTTTGTTTACTCTACTACCACCTTGAAGAATACACATAGGACATTCAAGTAAGTAGGAAAATCTGTACTGGGTCACTGTCACAATAAAGATGAATGAAGAAAAAAATTGTTGGAGAAAATAAAAAGCTAGTGTTCAGGAAAAAGGAGAAAATAAAAATCTAATCATTAGATTTTTCAAACATTTCAAAGACATAGAGCAGGGTAATTTCTCTTATATCTGAGTAGACTGGGATGACTGACATTACAATGAAATATTGTCAAAGAGAGTTATGCTATAAATTCCATACTGACAATGGAGTGTGATTTGGGTGTCACTTATCCATTTTTCTAATTTTGCATTCATAATATGAAACCAATCACATGTACAAAGAACATTCAAGGCTGGGATAACAACAGTACTGAAAAAGATCTAGTTCTGCAAGAATGACAAACTACTGAAAAAATATCTAGTTAAGGTGACAGTTATACTTTATAATGCTACTGATAAAAATATGGAATGTAAATTCAACACTCAGCTACATAGTAAATAAGGCATTTTACTTCAGTTACAAGATACATTCAAACTTTATTGACCACCATTAATTTGTAAGCCCACAAAAGTTCCCTTATTTAGGTTTACAAACCTAAATACAGTATGATGGATAAAGACAAAGAAACAACACAAAATACATTTTAAAAAGCTAATAATGTGAACTCCATTAGGTAGCTGATTTCAAACCCTTTATTACAGTGTCTAAATCTTACATTTTATTGTTCAAAATTATCAAGCCCTAACTGTAACATCCCCATAGAAGCTGAATTAATCAAGGATAAGCAAATTCTGTAACTGACATAAATCAACCTTCTCTTGTTCAGAGAAGAGGAAAAAAAACCCAAGAGAATTAAGAACTAAAATCATTCCCCTATCTTTTCTTCAGAGTAACATTTCTGAACACAAAAAATGACAAAAACAGACCCTCTTTCAGAAGTTTACACAATTCAACTGGGTGGCTGGTGCCTATGATTCAAATTACAGTAAAGATTTTAGAAATAAGAACTATTTAAAAAAAAAACCCAGCACAACAGCTATCTTTAAGTAATTTAAAGAAACTTCACCAGAAAGTTCCAATCTAGTTAATTTACAACAAACAATGGAAACCCAGGCAGCATAGCACAGTGATTCTCAAACTTTTCTAGTCCATAACTTTCTTTTTTTAGCACTATTGTAATCTCATGTCATTTTCACTTCCTTCTTCACTCCTTTCCTCTATAACAAATAAGAAAAAGCAAGGCAGTATGACCCATAATACTATGTTAGGAAGAAGAAAGACCTGTCAAGTCCAAGCTATATATGGCCTGTGCACTACTATGAGAGGGAGGAAAGTCAATAAGGTTCATCTGGTATTTAAAGAGAAAAAGATTGTTTGGAAATAAGTTTCTACAATCCCTTCAGAATTCTCTGCTTTGAGAAACAACTGGTCTAGAATTGGGCAATAACCACTATCATCTGTAACCCTACATGACCTTGTGCAAGCACTTTGCATTTCAGCCTTTCTGGAAAATAAGAACTACTTAGAAAGGATACTGGAAAATAAATGATATTATACTATATAACATTCTGAACCCTCTGGAGGAAAGGCATCTTATAAATCCAAAATATGATCACTGCTTAACGGTCCTAAGGCCAAGTACAACCTCTGGATTTCACAACCAAGCATTCTTTAGGATAATAAAGAAAAATTAGCTAATAGCTATCTTCTCTTAAGCAGAAAACAGAAATATCATTTCAGTTACTCTTGAGAAAAATAAGGAACTCAAAATAGTTTGCTACCTGAACAAGAGCATTTTATTTAGTTAGATACTTGTGCCCACAAGGCCAATAGCCTCAAAGCTCCATATTTCCTTCACAATGAAGGCTTTCTATGGTTCTGTTAAAAAAAAAAAGTATCAATCTCACCTAAATACCACTTAATGGAAAATTTCTTCGCAGTTGGTTAACATCCTGGTTGAACAGGGTAGCTACAAATGTATTCTTCTCAGTTGTTCTTTCACTTACCTTCTGTAACATCTCGGGGATTGGAGGTCCGGTCACTGGCTGGATCCACAGCTATAGTTGCCAATGAGGTGGTTGCCCCTGACATTTCACTCATCGGCTCGCTACGGCTGGTTTCAGGCACACTTTCCCGGGAGCTAAACCGAACACGGGAACTGGAACGAGAGCTGAGGTCCGGGCTGGTGTCTGACAAACCTGGAATGTCATCGATCTTTGTTGGTGTCACCATAAACCGAACTGAAGCCATCTTGGTGGTGGTTTCTGGAGGATGCATTTTTTTTTTTTAAAGAACAAGAAAACAGCAAAACAAAACAAAACAAAAAAATCCTTCCTCCTATGCAGATTACTTTTAATCCTGACCTTAGTAATAATAAACTCAATCCTTGAATCAAACACAAATCAACCAAAATAAGAATATTCTTAATCAGAAAACTGTCCCAGAGCACTAGCCAAATACACAAATCACTAGGAAAAAAAAACAACGCCAATTGTGTGGAACTTGGTTCCTTCAGAATGAGTAGATATCTAGAGAGCTCCCTTGGCCCTATGATGAAGGCTCACAGCCATAGTCTCTGGTTAGGTAAGTGACACTACCCTTCTCCCCCCTCGCTCTCCCCCAGGTTCTGGCTGAGGTAGTCGTTTATCAGATGAGTATCCCAGGGTTCTAGTTGCGGAAGAAAAGTGCAGGACCACCGTTATCTGGTGAACATAGCATGGATCTGGTTACCAAAAGGTGTGCACCCAGCCACCTGTTGTGTATCAGGTGAATACCCCACAGGTCTGGCAGGGAGGAGGCGTGTGCACCGACACCCGACGTTTTTGAGGCAGATAATCCACTTGGGTCTGGTGAAAAAGGTGCGCATGCATAACGGGAAAAATATCCCACACCACTTTGATGGAGGAGATGAAGTAGATGGACGGGAGAGGCTGAGGAGGAGGAAGAGCAGGAATGGATGAGGAAGACGGGGCCAAGGAGCAAAGAGGGTTCCAGAGGTGCCCAGCTGCAGGGGGGCGTGCGGGGACAGCCTGCCCGTTGTTCTCCACAGCGAGGTCACACTGGGGTCTGGTAGAGAAAAGCTAGCGGACAGACCCAGCCCAGGCTGCGGCTCAAGGATGTGGAGGTAGATCGTCCCCAGTCATCAGTCGAGCCCGCCGACTGGTCACTCACTGGGTTTCTCCCGCTGGTGATAGGACAGGGCCCCTTCCTCTCCCAGGAGACTTCCTCCCCCTACCAGGGCCCTGGCACAGCTCAGCCCCTTGCCAGCCTTCCTCCGGCAGACACGGTCGCTGCGTGTCCTTTCGGGTCTCGGGCAGAGGAGGAGATGACAACGCAGGTTGTCCCCCGGTTCCAAGAGAGGCAAGGATGCAGGAAAGGACGATGAGGAGGAGGAGGAGGGGAGGAGGAAGAGGAACAAGAGGAGGATCTTTCTATCAGGTGCTGAGATCACAGGAGCCCAGCTGATGCGGGATGCGCGCGCAGCGGTTGTTTACTAGCGGGGTAACTGTTTCAGCCGCAGCAAATTAGGGCCAAGGAGGCGGGGCTTGGTGCGTCTGACGCGCCGGGGGAGGCGGGGGGAACTAAGTGGGGAGAGGGGCGCGCGCAGCCTTCCAGCGGAGCCCCGCCCTCCCTGTCGCCATCCGCCATCCGCCATCCGCCAACCTGCTCCCCCACGCTCGGTTGGGCTCGATCCGCCGCAGGCTGACCCCCCCACCCCCTGCTCTCGCATGTTCGAGGCTAACGGGCTGGAACAGAGCGTGCGGCCGGGCAGCGGTAAACGTTCAGAAGAGCGGAAAGTCTCGCGCGTCCCGCCCCTAGCCCCCCGGCCTGCGGCTGGTGCACTTCCGCCCCGCCACCCGTCACTGAAGCTTGGGAGCTCCGGGCAGTTCTCGGCGCGCCCACTAGCGAGCGGACTGCTGGACCCTGCCCCCGAGCCCCCGTGGTGGGCGGGTGTGGGCATAGCTGGTGCTTGAGAGAAGTGGGGATGGTGGAGCCCCGGAGAGGAATTGTGGACTTGGGCGGGGGACTTCAGGGGAAATAAGGGTCGGGGTGAGTGGCAGGAGCGAAGTCGCTGTAGACCTTGGAGGACAGACTGGAAAGAGCCTTGCACGGGGAGGCTTAGGAACCTTAGACAAGTCATCCGGCCTCTCTGGACCTCAGTTTCCCTTCCTGTAAAATGAAATGGTTGGACTAATGGCTTTTAAGGTTCCTTCCGGGTTTGACACTGGTGGAAAAAGTCCTAGTTCTGGGGTCAGAGGATTTGGGTTCAAATCCTGCCTGTGACACCTCTGTGACTTTGGGCAATTCACAACCCACTGGGCTTCAGTTTTCCTGAACCGTAAAATGAGGGAGCCGGACTACATGGTATTTAAGGTCTCTTTTTGCTCTAGATCTGTGCTTCTTCCCTACTAACAACAGTGTGGCAGACCACCACTGGATTCTCTGGAAAGATCAATAGTGATTTCTGCTTTCAATGATTGGTTTCTGTAGGGCAAGATCATAGGATTTAGAGCTGAAAGAGGAGAAACCCTTTGATATTACTTAGTCCAGCATGTTAGGAAACAGTTCAGGAGAAATGAAGTGATATGTTCAAGGTCACACAGTTGGTAAAATAGATTCAATGCCTTTTCCATCACACTATTACACATATATAATCCCATATATGAGTAACTTATAGGATTTGAGAGTTGGAACAGACCTTAGAATTTCATTTAATCCTAGAGGTGTGGTGAAAAGATCACTGATTTTGTTGTCAGGGTTTCTATCCTAGTGCTGCCACTGTGCTGCCAACTGTGACTTCCCACAGGCTTCAGTTTCCTCGGATGTAAAAGTGCTGGACTAGATTTCTAAGGCTCTTCAAGATTTATGAATAGCATTTTAGATAAGGAGACTGAGAGAGGTTAAATGATTTGCCTAAGGTCAGAACTAATAAATAGCAGAGCACTGATTGAAATCTTTAGTCTTCTGACTCCAAATCCTGGACGTCTTCCCATATCACTGGAAAATTGTTGAAAGCATTATTTTCTATGCCTTCCTAATAACTTTTGATCTTTGTTAATAGGCATCTAGTGTAGCATTTGTAGAAGTAGAGTGAAAAAAAGTAAAATACGAACTTGAAAATTGCTTGAGAGGTACAGGATTCAGAAACACATAGTTGAAAACTCCTAATTTTTAATATTATACTATTTGATGTCCCCTCCAAATATTGTTAGAGAGTTAACCCTAAAGCATAGGACCCTCAAGGTAAGTATTGGAAATACATGGCTTGCATTATATTAATTAATTTTTGTTGTTGTTTATGTGTTATAACCTTACTGCCCGAATTAGATATTAAGTTCTGTTGGGAGTAAGGAATGTATTTTCAGTAGTAGAATAAATAATTTTAAGAGCTGGAAGAGACACTGGAGATAATCTGATAACTTCCAGCTCTGGGCTCTTTCCATAATGCCACTTAAATACTTGTCTTAAGGTATGTGACTTTTCATGGTGTTCAATAAATGTAGATGGACATAAATAGACTCATTTGGGTGTTATTTGCTTATTAGAATGTTAAATGTTCTCAGGTACTAATATATGTCTGCTTTTGCACTTTTCAGGCCAGTCTTGAGTCCTTCCTCACATTTGGTTTAGGCAGAATTGCACTAAGCAAACAGCCTTGGGAATAAATTAATGTATATATCCAGATTTAGCAATACTTTAGGTTGCAATTAAAGTTTAAGCCAGGGAAACTCTGCTCTTATTTCCAAATGACCCACAAAACCTCAGAGTCCAGCTCTTTAATATTTAAGCAGTCAGGTAGGAAAGAGAGATTATTGTAATTTAGAGAATGAAATTCCCATTTAATGTTGAAGCAAATCATCTTTCATATAGCTTTCAATTCTCCATTCTGTCCCACAGCACTATCTTCTGGCCTGCTTCCAAGCTGCACACAGCTCTGACCCATTTTAGACTTCCAATCACAAAATTATAGGGGCTTGGAAGCCCTTGCTTTCCCAAAAGGTTAATATGCCCCTTCAGCTAGGGTTGCTATTAAGCCAGCTGCCAGAGATAAGGTGTCTAGACTGCTTTTTCCTAATTAAGAGCTTTATTTGAACATATCACTAACTTCTTTCTGATAATACCTTACATTTGTATAGCACTTGACAGGGTACAAAGTGCCTTCACATATATGATTATGTGCCCAGTAGGCTACAAGATAAATAGGGCAAGCCTTGTCATTCCCATTTTACAAAAGAATGAACAGACTCAGAAATTGTTACCTCCTCAAGGTCAAGCTGGTGAGTGAGAGAGGCAAGTTGCTGACCCAGTCCAGTTCTCATTCTTTGATCAATTCAACAAACATTTTTAAGGCCTGTTGTGTACAAGGCCTTGTTTTGACTAAGGGATCTTTTTTGGGGGGTGGTGATAGCAAGCAGTCTGAACCAGTGATTTCATCACTGTGAGGAATTGAAATGTCCTGTACCAAAACATTAGCAACTGACTATGATTTACAGGCTTAGAAAGTCGACTGGGGCATTCTCAGGTTAAGATGTTGAAGGGTCAGAGTGTGTTAGGCAGTACTTGAAGTCTTCCTGACTCTGTAAGACCAGTTCTATTACTATGCTATAATGCCTCTCGGTGGGACTACATAGATGAAAAATGACATTGTCCCTGCTCTCAAAATTTCATACTTTATTGGATTTAATTGCAGCTGGGTGGTGAAGTGGATAGAGTGCTGGGCCCGAGCCTTATTTCACCATCCCTTTAACTTAAAGTTGGAAGGAAGCTGCAAGATTATTTTAACACCTACAACCACATGCATGGATTCCAGTAGAAATGTCAGCTCCTTAAGGGTAGGGAATATTTCTCATGTTTGTCTCTGTAGCTCAGTGTCTAGTGTTTTCTTTTGGAAAAGGCCCACCTAAGCTGTTTTGCCTGAATGTGTGTTCTCCAGGAAAGGAACTACTTCTACCACTTGGTAGAAAGGATAAAGCCTAATTCCTCCAGACTTAGGATCATAGATTTTTAAGAGCTGGAAGGGACTTTAGAGGCCATGGAGTCCAACCTTTTAATTTTACAGTTGAGCAAACCAGGCCTGAGAGATATTAAATGACTTGCTTGGGGTCACATAGCCAGTGTCAGTCAGGTCATCCTGACTTTTGAGCATCCTACCACCACAGCCTGTCTTTGCTTTTTTTTTTCCCCTCCTCTTTTTGTATCCTTAGTGCTTAGCACAGTACCTGGCACATGCTTAATACATGTTTATTAATTGATTTCCTGAGCAGTTTAGAGGTTGGGCCTTTCAGTTGGTATGTGGCCAGAGATACCATTCAAGACCTGATAAACATCACTTCACTACATTTAACCTAATTTTGTTGTCCTGGTATCTTTGTGTCTTAATGTTTCTTTTTTTTGAAGGTTACCAACAAATTCTAAGTACCTCCTTCCTTATGCCCACTAATACTATCAACACTTGTTCTCTTCACTTATTAGCCACCTACTATTCCCTATAGGAACCTATCTCATCAGCATTCTGCCTGTTATGATTTTCTCTTTTTCTAGTTCCCACTTAAGAGATATCATAATTCAATTCATAAATCTTGTCTTAGTTGTTTTTCAGTGTTTCAGTCACGTCCAACTCCTTGCGACCCCACTAACCATAGTACTCCAATACTATCCATAGGGTTTTCTTGGCAAAAATACAGGAGTAGTTTGCCATTCCTTCCTCCAGTGGATTAAGACAGAGATTAGGTGACTTGCCCAGGGCTCACACAGCTAGAAAGTATCTCAAGATGGATTTGAATTCAAATCTTCCTGATTCCAGGCCCAGCACCATATCCACTAAGCCACCTAGCTGCCTCCTGTTGTTTAATAGGCATTGGTTATTACTCAAATACTTTCAGGGTTGGGTACTTTTTGAGGAAGTGGCAAAGGGTGGCAGGAGAAAAAACCATTATCTTGAACCACAGGTAATCTAAAATCAGGAAATCTAGATAAATAAAGATGAATAGTCAAAAAAGTGTGTCTTCATATTTTCTGTAGAGGGATGACTAAACAGAAAAGCAACAGGGTTATCCTTTTGTTTATAAACCGTAAGACATAAATGCTAAGACATCTGGGGTGATTCTTTCTGCAAACCTAGGTTAACTTGTTAATTACTCATTGTCTTCCTCAACCATCTAAGGCCTTGACAAGGATGTGGATTGTCTTGAGGTCTAGAAACAGTGAGAGTTTAATAAAGACTCTAGACATCATTCCTCAATCAGAAAAGCAGACCAAGAATTAGGGTTTTTTTTTTAAGTCTTATTCTATTGTTCCTGAAGATTTCCTTGTACTCCTTTTGCTTAAGTTTTCTTTAGGCAACACCTCTCAAAAGACATTTACTTTGAGGAAAAGAAGGGTGGTTCCTGTACATGCAATGGGAGAGAAAGAAATAAGGTCAAGAATT